AGTAAAAAAACTTAAAAATTCATAAACAAGAAGCTTATCAAGTAAGATGCAAAAAGGCCCTAGATTAGCGAGAATATAGACAATAGCTATATAAAGTAATTGAATGTTTAAATGACCAGCTTGTAACCACACAGAAAATATTTAGATGTTACATTGTCACTAGTTCTATTTCATTGAAAGAAACTATGAATGATTAATTTATAAAACTGTGTATATTGAAATGGTCATATGTACCTATGTTTTTATCTTTATTGATGTAAAATCTGAAAGCATATCACATGAATGATCATATAGGAAATGAATGAATTTTAGTGATAGTGATGTTAATCAATACTTCAAATTCCTCTGGTCTGTAACAAAAATGACACCATGATGTGTGAAATTACTTTGATCTCTCTTGGTCATTATTACATTGTGACTTTCTTTCATTTTCTACAAGTATTGATATATAAATCATTTGATATAGAAAAATTTTATGTGTCTCAAAATATTTTTGTTTCTTTAGAGTACATATATTTCTATATTCAGATTTATTTTCTGCTTTATCACTCATATTGTTGATAAATACCTTTTTACTTTTTGGAAAATTAAAGTGCAAGTGATTATGAAAGAAGAATTAGGAATAAGGACCAGTGTGACTCGTGGGACATACACAATGAGAGCTTATGTGGACAATAAAGACTTGTAATCATGCTTTTAAAATTTTTACATACCAGGAACAAGTTCACCAGTTTGATGACCAATCTCCACCCAATGCCTGGAAATACACTCTCAGCCCAAAGGCCATGTATGACCAGTGTCCTGCTATAGACAGAAATTTAGAGATTGTTAGCCTTCAGAGTAAATACTTTCTATCCCCACACCAACTCTTCACCTTAGTTCCAATATTTTGTATAAAAAACCCAAATATGATAATAATCACTCAAAACTGACCATAAACAGTAAATTAATTAAAAGTAGCTATTTCATTTTAACTATGGAAATTTCAATGAGAACCAGAAGAATGCTTTGTTGACATTTAGAATATATAAAACTTCCTTATTAAAAATTCATATTCAGTTTCATATTTTATGTTGACAGTGAGGTGACTTATTTTGTTTGATTTATCTTTACATTTTTCAATTTTGTTACATATTATAAAAGCTGACATTTATTGCCAAACATTATGCTTTGTGTGTTTCCTCTAACATTTCAGAAACTCCTTAAATACTTTATGCCTTGCGGACACTATTTTTAGCACACTTATTTTACAGATAAGATACATAATAGTCTAGGAATAAGTGATTTACTAATGACACCACCACAAAAGACAGCAGAGCTGAGCACAGCACTGGTAATCTTGTCCAAAGACCTCTCCTCCCCACCTCTTTTTTTTTAACTCTTATTTAATGAATATAAATTTCCAAAGTACAGCTTATGGATTACAATGGCTTCCCCCCCCCATAACTTCCCTCCCACCCTCAACCCTCTCATTTCCCGCTCCCTCTCCCCTTCCATTCACATCAAGATTCATTTTCAATTATCTTTATATACAGAAGATCAATTTAGTATATATTAAGTAAAGCTTTCAACAGTTTGCTCACACACAGAAACACAAAGTGTAAAATACTGTTTGAGTACTAGTAATCGCATTAAATCACAATGTACAGCACATTAAGGACCTAGATCCTAAATGAGGAGTCAGTGCACTGTGACTCCTGTTGTTGACTTAACAAATTGACACTCTTGTTTATGGTGTCAGTAATCACCCTAGGCTTTTATCATGAGTTGCCAAGGCTATGGAAGCCTCTTGAGTTCGCCAACTCTGATCATATTTAGACAAGGTCATAGTCAAAGTGGAAGTTTTCTCCTCCCTTCAGATAATGACCCGTTCTTTGATGACCCATTCTTTCCACTATCCTCCCCACCTCTTATTCATTGTGTACATTCTTTTGTTTTAGTATGAAGAAAAAAACACTGTTCCTCAACAGTAGAGACAAGGGTTGTAAACAATTATCAAATCTCAAAATGTTCCTTTCACTGTAATACATCACATTTTAGGTATTCTATTAGTTACCCCAGATTAGGGAAAAACATATGTTATCTTCTTTTTAGCTAATTTCACTAAGTATAATGGTTTCCACTTGCATCCATGTTGCTGCAAAAGACAGCATTTCATTTTTTTTACAGTAGTAGAAACTCCAGAAATCAATCCATGCATCTACAACCAACTTATCTTTGACAAGGGAGCTAAAATCAATCACCGGAGCAGAAAAAATTGTGCTGGGAAAACTGCATCTCCACATGCAGAAGTATGAAACAAGACCTCTACCTAATACGTTAAAAAAATTCACTCAAAATTGATCAAAGACCTAAATCTACAACTTGATATCATCAAGTTACTGGAGAACATTGGAGAAACACTGCAAGACATGGACATAGGAAAAGACATCTTGGAAAAGACCCCAGAAGCACTGAGTACATTCTAATTTAGAAAGAGCCAACTGAAACATATAACTACTCTTTTAAAGGTTCCAATATAAAAATGTATTGAAACCTCATATAGTACTCCATACTACTCAGTCATAAAAATGAATGAAATCCTGTATTTGCAACAAAATGGATGTACCTGGAAACCATTATACTAAGTGAAATAAGCCATTCTCAAAATGACAAATATCACATACTTTCTCTGATATGTGGTAGTTAATACAAAAAAATGTATAGGAATAAAATGGATATCTTGGGATTTGATTGATGGTTTTAGCTTTTGTTCATACTCATGTAGAACTGTGATTTTTTTCTAATTTTTACTTGTTGAATACCATGGTTAGTGGTACAGTATGTCTGTTGTTATAGAGTGGATTGAAATGATGTTTTTGTAAGAATTCTAAAAACATTGAGCCGGCATCGCGGCTCAATAGGCTAATCCTCCACCTGCGGCGCCTGCACCCCGGATTCTAGTCCCGGTCAGGGCGCCAGATTCTGTTCCAGTTGCTCCTCTTCCAGGCCAGCTCTCTGCTGTGGCCCAGGGGTGCAGTGGAGGATGGCCCAAGTCCTTGGGCCCTGCACCCGCATGGGAGACCAGAAGCACCTGGTTCCTGCCTTTGGATCAGCGCAGCGCGCCAGCCGTGGTGGCCATTGGAGGGTGAACCAATGGTAAAGGAAGACCTTTCTCCCTCTCTCTCTCACTGTCCAGTCTGTCAAAAAAAAAAAAAAAAAAAGAATTCTAAAAACAAAGCAGAAAGGAAGGAAAGGAGATTGATGGAGAGAGTGAGGGAATGAGGGAAATGTGGTTATCTTCTTAAAATTGTACTTATGAAATACAAGGAATCTGTTTTCTTATATTAATAAGAAATATAAATAAATATAACTAATTATTTAATAACTTTAAATAAGATTTATAAAAATATTCTGATTAGCACTTCATTGAATTCAGAGAATGATTTGAAAATGAGTGACATTTTCAAATGGTCTAACGATTCATGTGGAAAAAGGTAGGTGCCTCGACAACTCATTTATTCATGATAAAAAATTTTATGGTTTTGTATTAACAACTGCATTATGTTACATTTTCATAACAGTTGAACTATTACTGCATTAGTTGACAATAAAGTGAGATATTAATATTATCCAAGATTACACCATGGTGTACACATTAGGGGTTTGGACAAACTTATTCTGAGTTGTATGCAACATTAGATTATCCTACAGAAGGTCACTACCATGAATTTCCTCTGTGTTTTGTAGATTTATCTCTCTTTCTTCTACCTTTCTATGGTATCCACTTATCATTTGAATTCTCCACCATTTTGTCATTTCTAGGATGGACTCTGATTGGAAACAAAAACAAATTTCAGGTTGCTTTATTAAACATCTGAGAGATGTTCAGGTATTAGATGTAAGAATCCATCATTACTTTCTCTGGGAGGATCATAAACTGGGATTTTTTTGGCTCATTCCACTCAGAGCAGGAGCACAGCTCCATATAATTATCTCCACACTCTTCACAGGATTCTAGACATCACAGCTCCAAGACTTTCCAGACAGAGCCAATTTACATTTCACTCACCTAGGAAATATTGGGTCACTGGACATGGGGCCAGATACCTTTCCTTTCCTGAGTGAAGTTGGGAGCCAGGACATCTTTTCTGATGTATTGTGTTGCACCAGTTTTAGAGTTTCCTGGACTACTATGTCCAGATTCTCCCTACTTAATGTGGGGGATCTGTCTCTGTGTCTTCTTGCAATGTGCAGGACTTTCAATTTGATTCTGATTTTTCACAAAGGGAATGTGTCTGTGAATTATGGTTCCATCTGTGTGTGGTGAGGAAAAGAGACTTCAGGAGTTTCACTCTGCCTGCTGAAATCACCACCTAGCCTTGACTTAAAATTAAGACTGAAAATGTGCGCCTTGTAATGTGTCCCTGTCACACTGAAAGAAAGAAATGGAATGACCTGTGAGGTGGACACAAACATGTGAGGCATCTGGATTTCCCAAAAAATGTTTTTCTTTTATGAGTTATTTCAGCCATGCTTTAAAGTTACTATGTTGTTCAGGTGGCAGTGGAAAGGGAGACAGGGAACGGAATGCTCTGATCAGTGTGCAAGTGTATGACACCTGGTCAACTGTCATTCAGGTAAGGGACAGTAAGGGGTTCTCTTATGGACATACTATTCCATAAACAAAGTGCAGCCTTGGCTTCCTGGGTCCTCTACGCCTGTCCTCCTGTTCCCAGAGCACATTTGTGGCTCTGCATTGACAGAACAAAGATCTATCGTCATCAAACCTAGGCTCAAGAGAATTATAGGGTGCCTAGGTACACACCTAGGGTACAAGGTGATCCTTCCGGTTGTAGTCCAGTGTACAAAGAGGTGTGGAGAACGACACTGATGAAAGGCATCAGCCCTAGCTGAGGAAAGAAGGCTAGAAGCCAGGTCTTGTGACTTAGAACATGCCTCTGTGGGCAGGGCCAGAGAGACTAATCAGGTACAAAATGCCCTGGACTCCAGGGCTCCCCAGCTGCTGCAGTGGAGTGTAGAACGGTCTTCATTCTCTGAAGCTGAGAACTCAAAGCAAAACAGCAACTATGAGGCTGTCAGTGTCTCTCCTGATGGTGACTCTGGCCCTTTGCTGTTATGAGGGTGAGTATCACTTGTGATGAATCTCATTAGGAGCTTCTTCTGCACACCGTGATCATTATGGGGTGGCAATGAGGTCCAGAACCTCACAATATTCCAAAGTTTTTTCCTCAGCCTATTAAATTAGCACCTCCTTCACTAAAGCTGATACTTCATTTCTCAATTTCAATGAAATTTGTCAGGAAAATCTATGCCGGAAATTTTAGAAAGTCCTTTTTCTACACTCCAAGTCAGCATAGTTCAGTGGGAGTGCTAGACATGAATCTAGGCTCTGCTATACCAGTTCTTTGTCTTGGGGTCAAATGATGAACATTTTCCAGCCTCTTTTCATCACTGGTGTTTACAGCCAGCATCATGAAAATCTGGGAGAATGAAGATTAAGCCCATAATGGGCCAGTTGTCAGCAGGAAGCTGATACCTGCAGTGATCAGATGTTCTCTTTCCCAGAAACTCTTGGGTGTCCCTTGAGTCTTCAACTATGTTATACCTGGGAGGGTGCCTGTGGAGCTCCTAATTCCACAAGAGCCATGTTTTTGGAATTCTTAATTATAAGCTTTCAAGTGAGTATTACTAGTTTTATAGATGTTCCAGCAATAGTGGTGGTAGAGCAGGTCTAATAGCACTAGGAATTTTACCAAATTAGAATCAATTCTACCTGTTCTTCCAACAGTACAATGCTTTGCATATCTCTCTGCCTTCAGGATGTTCCAAAATTGTCTGAGACTGACTTTTTCCTCTGATTTTCTGATCCCCTCCCTGTTCTTCTGATGTCTCTGATTCTACCATCTTTAAATTCCACCCAAAGTTGATGCTGTCTGAATTTAGGGTCAAAGTAGGTCCTGATTGGGTCCTTTTTTGATTCAGAGTAGTTCTAAAGCCTAGAAGAAAATGAGTCAATGCAAGGAGAAGTCATTTCTCTGGTGTCTATACAATTCCCAATATGATCAGGAATGGGACAGTTTCCCCTCTCAGCCTCTCTGATTATTTGGAACGTCCCTTTAGAAAGAAAGAGCCCATCATAGTGTCTTTTATGAGCTTCTTATGTGTGGGGAGGCTGATTATCTGTCTGAATTTTAGCCTCTGGTTCTGGATGTATCCAATGCCATCTTCTGAATTCACCCAAATTTGCCTCAAAATATCACCTATAGACATTTTAGTAAATATGTTGGCTCTTCTCCATATTTTCCCTCACTTCTCAGACGTGGTGGGATTCTGTCTGCCATTCACTTCCAAAGTGGATTCCCCAGAACCTACTTTTCTCTAGTATCAAGGACTGATCAGGTATCATGCAATTTGCAGGCAAACTAAGTTTGTTCAAGGCTACAAATGGGGATTTCAGTTAAGGGGAGAAACTTTGGAAAATAATGGATGTGTGCTTACAAAATACCCACAGCAACTGATCTTGTTATTGAGCTCATGTTTTTCTGGTCTTACACTTGCTGTGTAATCTTGAGGAAACAAAAACAACAAGGATCTTTCACTGTGAACAGCACAATCTTAGGATGCAAACTTGGAGGCCTGGGGATCCTGTGTGGTCTCTCATCCAAAGACTCTGGAGAAATATTTTCCTCATAGAGATTGTCTCCACTCTTCTGCTCCAGGCAATGCGTTGGTCTGTCCTGCTCTTCTTGCTGAAAACTTTGGATATCTGTATTTTAATAAAGACCTGTTCAGATTACAACTGGCCAAGTTTATGCCACCAAGAGAGGCAGCTGAGGCATTGCTAACAGTGAAGAAATGCACAGATGGAATGCCAGAGTTCAAACGAAACCTAATTGCAGGAGCACTGGTAATTTCTTTCTCTTTTCTCTGTAGTGGAATCTGTTCAATTATACAGGCATGAGGTCAGCTTCCCACTCAGTAGAGTTCCAGTGTGATGGACATTGGGCTTGTTGTTCACCTGAAATAATGTATAACTCCAGGCTATACATTGTGTGCTACCAGTACTCCTACTGCATTAAACTCAGGTGCACTGATCTTTCCGAGCTAATTCCTCCTTAGGTTACCCATCTGGCTGCTGTGCTCATGACTGTGTCCTGAGAAGGACGATCTGGGCCACAAGTGGTGAGGTTGAAGCAGCAGAGTTTGCTGAATGCAAGGTCCACTCAACCAGGGTGTGTCAGTCACTATGGAGTCTCAGGGGAGTTTAAGAATGTAGAACAAGGAGACAGAGGTAGGGTTGGGAAGTGGAGCCAGTCCTCTGCAATAAATAGACAATAGATGCCTGAGTTTGTCTACCAGATAGCAGAGCCAGAAACCTATTCATACCTCCTTATCCACTTTGTCTTCCTTGTAATGAACAGTGGAAGGCACTCCTTGCTGATTTATCTCCTACATTGCAACACTGAACTAGAGCACTTATGTGGGTCTCTGTCATGAAATCTGATGGTATAGAAAGGTCTCTCCATCCACCTGGTATCTCAGTTTAGATTGTGAATTTTGGTTTCAAAGTCCATCATAGTTGGAATTCCATGCTAAGATTTCCATGGATAACAAGGCACAATCCAACCTTGGGAGCCTGAAATCTCCTGAATGCAGTGTTTCCCAAAGTCTCACCCCAGTTCTGCTCTAGGTCTCTCAACTCTGGGTCTCTCACTGGAGGTAAAAGCAGACTCCACTATACTGAGATGTTGGAGAAAGAAACTCCTGGGCATTTGTGTCCATTTACTTATCTTCTCCTTCTATTAGAGACCTGAACCAAATAATTTAGCTATTTCAGGACAAAAGAGAGTTCTTCACAATTATATTATTAAATAAAACTATATATGATCTGAAAATTTTTCCAAAATCAACTTATTTTTTATTCTATTTTCCAGCAATCTTTTGAAACACTCTGGTATTTGACTCATTTAGGAAATACTGTTCCTCAACCTGAGTCATTGTAATTTTTCCAGGTGTATGCCATAATTTAACACAACTCAGCTTTATCACATTTTAACCTAACAAATGCCATTCGAAAGCAAATCTCCATTGATGTATTGGTTTTGCTTACCTGTTAACTCCAGGGCATCATGAACGACTTTACCTTTGCTTCCTGATGTCTTTCTGTGCTTTAATTTCAGGGAGAAGTCGTGCTGCAATGTCCTGTCTGACATGTGAACAATGTTGGATCCTTCTTTCCAGTGTCTTTCAAGGTCACCTTGATCTTAAGTGCAACATATAAAGGTTTCAACGTCTTCTCTAATAAATCACTTTCCTTGCATTCCTCTATGTGTCTTCTTACTAACCTACAATCACAACACATGATTTGAGATGGATTTAATAAATAATTGCTTTCTTGGTGTTGGTAATAGTCATTGGCAGAGACCAAACATCCAAAAGCATCAGCAATTTCAAGCCTCAGAAAACCAAATGCGTAGCCAGGAACTCTCCTGAATTACTTCACAGACTCCTGACTTGAGCGACCATGAGTGAGAATGATGGTAAAGGGTAAATAACAGTTACAGAATCCTTCATGATCTTGTACTTGGGGACAATCCTAGTTTCACTGTCTACTCAGTCAATTAATTATATGGAGTGCTGGCACTGTGGCATAGTAAGCTAAGCCTCCACCTGCAGCACCGGTATCCCACATGGACTCTGCTTCATGTCCCAGTTGCTTCTCTTCCAATCCAGCTTCTGCTAAAGGCCTGGGAAGGCAGTGGAAGATAGCCCAAGTGCTTGAGCGTTTGCAGCCATGTGGGAGACCCTGATGAAGCTCCTGGGTCCTGGTTTCTTATCAGCCCATCTCCAGCCCATCTCCAGCCCATCTCCAGCCATTGAAGCTACTTGTAGAGTAAACCAGTAGAAGGGATTTCTCTCTGTGTGTCCTACCTTCTCTCTCTGTAACTCTGCTTTGAAATACACACACACACACACACACATTCATTCCATTTATGAACTCCATCCTGTCTCATGGTTCCCTCACCCAACATAGCATCTGCCTCAAAAACATGGAGATGTCATGGGCTTCTGCCTAATTTAATGGCTGTAGTAACAAATTATTATAAACTTAATGACTTAAGACAACTTATTTTCTAAGGATTATTGAGAAAAGACATCCAAAATTCATTTCACAGTGCTCAGAACAAGGAGAGGGCAGGGCTACATTCCCTCTGAAGGGTCCAGGACAGAATCTCTCAATAGCTGCATTTAGTGCCTGATAACACATGGTAATTCCTGTCCCTTGGGCACTTCCCCCTATATATTCCTCTGGGTTATATTATCTCCTACATATCTGTCCATTTAAAATATACTGTGTCCCAAATTTGTAAAATTTATGGGTTGTCTTTAGAAACTAGAAGACTCAATAGACAAGAGTTTTAGAAATAACTCAGATTATGTGGATACAGGGATATACAGTGAAAGCAGTTGTGAGGATGTGGGTTGATGTCTGGCTATGAGGAGCAAGGAAGAAGCAATATTCCTTGCAAGTTTTTAATCCTATTTTTTATTTATATCACCATTTTAAAATGAAAACTGAGATAAGTCTAGAAAGTTGGATGTCAGTAATGAAATGGAAAGAGGATAGAAGAAAATGGGCAAAAATGTGGGCAAGAGAGTTAATTTCTTTTTTTAAAAGACTTTATTCATTCACTTGAGAGGCAGAGTTACAGACATAGAGAGGGAGAAACAGAGAAAAAGGTCTTCCATTTGCTAGTTCACTCCCCAAATGCACACAAAGGCCAGAGCTGAGCTAATCTGAAGCCAGGATCCAGGGGCCAGGAGCCAGGAGCCGGGAGCCAGGAGCTCCTTCTAGGTCTCCCATACCATGCAGGGGCCCAAACACTTGGGCCATCCTCTACTGATTTTCCCTGCCACAAAGGAGAGTTGGAACAGAAGAGGAACAGTT